GTTTCTGACAGAATGCTATTTCTTAATAATAATGTGTGGACCCAAACACGCAGATGTATAGACATAGAAAATATATTTGCAATTAGCTTCTGTCTCGAAAGTTGGACGAGACCTTTTTTGATTCACCAGAGGCTGGCAGCCAACTCAGTTATCTAATTGGATGGAAAACTCCTGCTTTCTTCAATTTGGACGACGTCTGCTTTTGCACAAACTCATTAAATGCAGCTGCGCTTAAATATATAACAGCAGCCGCAGTGAAAAACCCCCAAAACCCAACAGTCTGAAGTTAATAACTGGTCTGTCTTCTTCTCTCTGATCTTTCAGACCTCTTTGATTATGGTTGAAACGTGCCCAACTTTTGTTGAGGTTTTTTTCCTCTCCTCTCCTTGGCAATCCACCATCTTTCCCCTCCTTCCTTGCAAGCTGTCCTGTTTACTGTCAAGCTACAGAGCTTTTTATTCCACGCCGCCACCCCTACGCCTAGCTAAAGTGCACAGCACCTTTTTTGGAAAAAGATAAATTCCAATCAGTTAGCTGCATCTCTAATGACCTAAGCAGGCTTGAATGCTTTTTGTCCTCGTAAACATTTGGGAAGGACTGAGTGCAAAGGGGGTTTGTTTGCTTGTTTTAAATGATGGGTTTTGCGACTTTTGACCAGGGAGGCAAGTGGGTGGTCATACCCAAATCTGTGCCAGGAGGGTGAGAAGGAACTGGAAGAAGAGGGAGCGGAAATCCAATGACTGGCAGGTACTACTGTGTTGGCCAGGCCTCCATACCCTCCACCACCCCACGGATCAATATTGGTCATTTTTTGGGTCTCAAGCTCTCATGGGAGCCAGCTGACACATGTAAGAGTATGAGACCAAAGAATAAAGTATTTTGGTCTGCTGCAAGCCAGCTGATTCTACCGAGAGTGCTGGACCAAAAACCAGGACATTCCAGGATCCAATCAGAAGCCAGGATGGCTTTTGTAATTCTGGGATGTTCCACTCAAACTGGCATGGTGAGCTGTATGGGCCTGGGCAATGCCAATCACCTAATATTTACACCAAACCTGGTCAATCCAGAGGTTTTATATTGGCTACCAGCTGCAGGGTCCGATGTTGTGCAGCCCAATTCCTTGATGTAAGCCCTTCAACTTTGCTTGCAACTCATTCCTTTAGCCCCCGCCAGCCATTTTGCAACTCATAAGTCTTGCACTGGAAATGCTGGCAAATACAAGTAAGTACAAATCTATACCTAAGTGTTGTTGTTGTTTACACGTTGTTGTTGTTGTTGTTGTTGTTGTTGTTTCCTGCCTTTTCCCCTAACAGGGACTCATTTTTAAGGATCAGCAAGCTGAGAGGGGGACGTGGGTGGCGCTGTGGGTTAAACCACAGAGCCTAGGACTTGCCGATCAGAAGGTCGCCGGTTCGAATCCCCGTGATGGGGTGAGCTCCCGTTGCTCAGTCCCTGCTCCTGCCAACCTAGCAGTTCGAAAGCACGTCAAAGTGCAAGTAGATAAATAGATACCGCTCAGGCAGGAAGGTAAACGGCGTTTCCGTGCGCTGCTCTGGTTCGCCAGAAGCGGCTTAGTCATGCTGGCCACATGAGCCGGAAGCTGTACACTGGCTCCCTCGGCCAGTAAAGCGAGATGAGCACCGCAACCCTAGAGTCAGTCACGATGGACCTAATAGTCAGGGGTCCCTTTACCTTTACTTTAAGCTGAGAAAGCTGAGGTCTTGGCCTTGGGTCAGGCAAGCCAGCTTTCAATCTTCTTGTTGATATTGTTAAGCAGTTGTGAGTCTAAGGGCTCACTGACACTTCCCTCTTCCTGCTGTTTCCCTCAATGGGGAAACCCAGTCTTTGCTGAATTGCAGCAAACATAAATTGGTTTTCTGCAGATTGATTTTTGATTCAGCAGGAAAGACCGGGTTTTCCTAGGGAAAACTGTGGGACAAGCCAAAAACCTTTCAGACCCATGCTTTCTAGGCACGGGAAAAGCGGAAGTGTGAACAAGTCCTAACCCCTTTGCACATTGTGGTGTTAGTTGTATAAACACAAGGGCCAACAGGTGGCACCGTGCAGGGAGGTTAGAGGAAGCAAATAGGAAAATAAAATTAGCTGTGTTTCACTTCTCCCAACATAACGCCTTGTGCACAGTCCCCTTGCTGATCTACCCTAAAACAGTAAAGACGCCTGCTTCTTGGGAGAAAAGCAATGACAAACCTAGACAGCATCTTAACAAGCAGAGACATCACCTTATCAACAAAGGTCCATATAGTTAAAGCCATGGTTTTCCCAGTAGTGATGTATGGAAGTGAGAGCTGGACCATAAAGAAGGCTGATCGCCAAAGAATTGATGCTTTTGAATTATGGTGCTGGAGGAGACTCTTGAGAGTCTACGGACTGCAAGAAGATCAAACCTCTCCATTCTGAAGGAAATCAGCCCTGAGTGCTCACTGGAAGGACAGATCGTGAAGCTGAGGCTCCAATACTTTGGCCACCTCATGAGAAGAGAAGACTCCCTGGAAAAGACCCTGATGTTGGGAAAGATGGAGGGCACAAGGGGAAGGGGACGACAGAGGACGAGATGGTTGGACAGTGTTCTCGAAGCCACAAACATGAGTCTGACCAAACTGCGGGAGGCAGTGGAAGACAGGAGTGCCTGGCGTGCTCTGGTCCATGGAATCATGAAGAGTCAGACACGACTAAACGACAACAACAAATCCCAATCTACCTCCTTAGAGGGTTGGACTAGATGATCCTTGGGATCCCTTCCAACTCTGTGATTCTATGATTTTCCTCCCTCCAGCCCTGTTTGCCTTAATATTTTTTGTGTAAAGGTAAAGGTAAAGGTACCCCTGCCCGTACGGGCCAGTCTTGACAGACTCTGGGGTTGTGCACCCATCTCACTCAAGAGGCCGGGGGCCAGCGCTGTCCGGAGACACTTCCGGGTCACGTGGCCAGCGTGACAAAGCTGCATCTGGCAAGCCAGCGCAGCACACAGAACGCCGTTTACCTTCCCGCTGGTAAGCGGTCCCTATTTATCTACTTGCACCCGGGGGTGCTTTCAAACTGCTAGGTTGGCAGGCGCTGGGACCGAGCAGCGGGAGCGCACCCCGCCGCGGGGATTCGAACCGCCGACCTTTCAATTGGCAAGCCCTAGGCGCTGAGGCTTTTACCCACAGCGCCACCCGCATACATTTTTTGTGTAGCTTGAAACAATTCTGGGGTGGAGGGTTTTTTTTTGGAGAGCGGTGGAATCCACCAACAGGTTGGCCCAGTAAAAGGTATCACCTCAACCTGATTTCTGTTGCAGAGTTGTTCTCTTGTTAAAGAAACTGGCCTTTTGACCTAAACACAAAAGTGGCGTCTGCAGCTCCAGTATAATTGGCAGTGATGACTCCCAGCTCCAGTTAAATACCAGATTTGGTGCAAGAGACACGAGTCTGAAAAATTGTACTGCATTTGCAATTACATGTGTTTTCTGCATTTCCACCGGGAGGTTCTTCCAATAAAATAAAATAAAATAAAATAAAACAAAACAAAACAAGAAAAGCACCGAATCTTGGTCTGATCATACAGGCATGTCAGCACAGAATGCCACTGACTGTGTAGTTTCTCTTATGCCATCCTAGAAAATGGGATGCTGTGTAGGCCTAACTGCAATGTTTTATTTTTAATTCATTAATAAATTGTACCTCCCCTTTTCATTAAATTCCTTGCTCTGGGTAGCTCACTCTCCTGCCCTCCCACCACAACTAAACAACTATTTTAAAACTTAAAGAAAAAAAGATGAAGATGAAATTAATCATCTTAATTAATTAAGGGATGCGGGTGGTGCTGTGGGTTAAACCACAGAGCCTAGGACTTGCCGATCAGAAGGTCAGCGGTTCGAATCCCCGCGACGACGGTCTGAGCTCCCGTTGCTCGGTCCTTGCTCCTGCCAACCTAGCAGTTCGAAAGCACGTCAAAGTGCAAGTAGATAAATAGGTACCTCTCCGGCGGGAAGGTAAAGGGCGTTTCCGTACGCTGCTCTGGTTTGCCAGAAGCGGCTTAGTCATGCTGGCCACATGACCCGGAAGCTGTACGCCGGCTCCCTCGGCCAATAAAGCGAGATGAGCGCTGCAACCCCAGAGTCGGCCACGACTGGACCTAATGGTCAGGGGTCCCTTTACCTTTATCTAATCATCAGATTAAATAGCAACCAAGTTAGAATCAGCCTCTGCTGGAAAATATAGCTGAGAGAGACTGAAGCATTATCAACTTGCAGAATTATCAAGTACCTCTAATAAAACCGCCGTATTCTAGCCAGACTACAAAACCACAGAGAGCACAAAACCTAGCTTGGCAGGTCATGGCCGTCAGATGGGAATCATTCCATTTCAGCCCCAAAGTATCAGGTCTGGAGTAAAAGGTTAACAGAAGCAGGCCTCAGGACTAGGACCAAGACTTATGGGAGTTCCCTGTGAAGGTATAATCCAGCAATGTCTAGAGCTTAGCCAAACCCTCACATCCCTCAGTAGGGCCTGATGACTTGTCAAAGCCCAGAGACGGCCTGAGACATCTTGGCACATGAGATGAACCACAAAATGCCACCCCACCAGGGAAGAAGGGGTGAGCGAAGATCTACATCATGAACAAGTTGAGGAATAAAGATCTACATTCGGATCTGCTGCCCCTCTTGATTCTGCCGCCTGAGGCGGTTGCCTCACTTTGCCTCATGAGTGGGCCTTCCTTGCCTGTCCTTCTGGTGAAATTGCAGAGAACTTAAAAGTTCTCTGTCTTTCCCCTTGGATATTTCTTTGGAAGCAAACTGGCAAGAGTGGCATGTGTCCCAATTCAGACTCTGAAAAGTCTGTGTTGCCTCTCCTAGTTTTGACCCTGCTAAGTTGTTTTCCTCTTCAGAGACCTCTTCGGGGAGTTTGTGTCTCAGATTCCAAGTCCAGTGGATTTGGAAACCATGATATCTATTGGGCAAATGGCCCCAGCTCAGAAGTAGTCCTATGCTTACTTACCTCGGAGTAAGTCCCATTGAACTCAGTGCGGTTCAGTGTCTGAGTAGGCATGTACATGGTTCCAGAAGCAACAGTGGTACCTCTAGTTACGAACTTAATTTGTTCCGGAGGTCTGTTCTTAACCTGAAACTGTTCTTAACTAAAGGCGTGTTTTCGCTAGTGGGGCCTCTTGCTGCCACTGCGCCGCCGGCACACAATTTCCGTTCTCATCCTGGGGCAAAGTTCTCAACTTGAGGTAACTCTTCCAGGTTAGCGGAGTTTGTAACCTGAGGCATTTGTAACTCGAAGTTACCACTGTATTGTGGTTCCGGACCACCACAATAAAGCAAATGTCACAATAAAGTGAGTCACACAATATTATTATTTTTAAAATTCTGCAGGGAGCTCCTGTGACTCCCATATGGTCATGGTGCATATACAGAATGCAAACCGCTCACCCTGTGACCCTTTTACCTGCTGAGGGCATCCCCAGAGTCCAAACAAGCACTGGGATGGAAGTCTAAGAAGCTGGCATGTAAGCAGGAGTGGGCACAGAACCTGCATGCATACACAATTTGTTTTGTTTTGGTGCATATAAAAGTTATGCTTACACTATACTGTAGTGTATTAGGCCAGGCCCCCTGGCTGCAGGGGTGAGAGGGGGGGAAACCCGGATCCATCCCTAGCCAGCTCCACTCCCCAACTGCCTGCAGTTGTACCTGCATCCTCATAAAGAGGCGCAATAAAGTGAGGTATGCCTGTACAGTTGTATCTTGGATCCTGAACGCCTTGGTACTCACACGTTTTGGCTCCTGAATGCTGCAAACCTGGAAGTGATTGTGAACTTTCTTTTGGAACCCGAACGTCCGACGGGGCTTCCATGGCTTCTGATTGGCTGCAGTAGCTTCCTGCAGCCAATCAGAAGCCGCACTTTAGTTTCCGAATGTTTTGGAAGTCGAACGGACTTCTGGAACGGGTTCCGTTTGACTTCCAAGGTACGACTGTTTATCACCCTTAGTGCGGAGGGGCATATGTTCCAAATGCAACAAATGAATGGATACACTTGTAATGTAAATGTAATTTGGAATGTGCCAAACAATGAAATTGCTCTGTTTCAAGTAGCAGAGCTGCAGATCCGAAAACAAGGGATCATGTTTGAGCGACTTGGCCTTAAGGCATATTTATAAAACAAGCAAGAGCACAAGACACTGACATTCAAGATGAAACCAGTTCTGCCCAAGGTTTATTTAAAGACAAAGAAAGATTCGAGAGCAAGGGGAAGGGAAGTCCTGTCAGGGAAAGCCCAGGTGAGAATTTGTATCTGAAGGAGGTGCTTGAACGTAATAACAGAAGAAGGGAATTGGATGCCCAGAGGAAGTAAATTCTGGTGCTAGGCAGCTGCAGCGGAAAAGGAATGTGCAGGAACAGGAAAGGTAATTTTAGATTTGTTTACTTAAAATACATGCCTATCCCCAAATTAGCTGAAAGCAGTGCACAAAAATAAAATAATGCAATTTTAAGACTGCAAAATCCCACAAATAGAACATAAAAAATAGCATCTGCTGCTAAAAGAGAAGGAGGAGGACTTAGGCAACTAAATACTAAGGGAGAAAAGAGGATCTTAGAGCCCTTCAGAAATCCTCATAAGAAGGGTAGTTTCTTAACCTCCTCAGGTGATTCTGAATCTTTGGGGCCTTGACCAAAAAGGCCCTGCTTCCAATTGTCACCATCTTAACCAGGCTGTAAATTTAGGGCAGTGAAGCCTGCTTGATAGGACTGCCTCAACTGGTAGGCAAGCTCTTTTAGGGATAAGAGTCCCAGGCTATGAAGGTCCCAGACCACAAATGGCTTTAAAGGTTAAAACCACAGAACGAAGGTTTTGAGGAGGAAAATCCCTCAAAGGTCAAGTGGCCAAGCAAGCAACATTTGCAGGGGTTTTATTCTGAGTCGTACATTGGGCGCAATCCAAAGTAACTGGAACTACTGCTCCAAAGTATTGTCATATTTGCTGATAATCTGAACCTATGCATTGGAAACTAATGAGTATATCTCTCACCCAATAATCTAGAATAAAGAAGCTTCCATGTACTGAATGCTGCAATGGGCTGTATAGTCTTCCAGGGGACGAGACAGATTAATTTTCTGCGTAGACAACCTAATGCTTCATCCTGCAAAACCTCAGCAATTTGCCTTTTGTCCCTTGCCATTAAACTCAGGTAAGGTGACATGTGTTTCTGTAAAAACCATCCCATGCTGCAAAAGTCAGGTAGTTTGGTAATTTTTTTTTAAAGCCAACACTGAAGAAGACTAGCTATCCTATCAACAACCTCTGGTTTTCTCTCTTTTTAATCCACAGGAATAAAATGTGCAAAATGTCTATTTTTGCCTTGTATAGTTCCTGTTTGATGGAGGGTGGTTGAAAAAAAAGGGAACCATCTTCCCTTTTGTACTTATTTTCTATCCTCCTGTCATGAGCAGGAATCAAAACTGCTTTCAGCCATGACCCCAATGGGACATCCCACATGATAATCGGGGAGAGTTTTGGAAGTTCTTGTAGCTGATCTGTTCCTATGCAGCTCTCACTGCAAAGACTGCACAGAAATCATAAATAAGAGGATTAGAGAGGAGAACGTACCTGTGAGCACTAGGAAGTACAATCTCCAGCAGAGATTCCCGTGAAAAGCTCAGGAATGACCTGGATAGGTGGCAGCATCTAAGTCCAAAGGGTGGCACTGGGGGTTAAACCACAGAGCCTAGGGCTTGCCGGTCAGAAGGTCGGCAGTTCGAATCCCTGCAACGGGGTGAGCTCCCATTGCTCGGTCCCTGCTCCTGCCAACCCAGCAGTTCGAAAGCACATCAAAGTGCAAGTAGATAAATAGGAACCGTTCCAGCGGGAAAGTAAATGGCGTTTCCATGCGCTGCACTGGTTCACCAGAAGCGTCTTAGTCATGCTGGCCACATGACTTGGAAGCTGTACGCCAGCTCCCTCAGCCAGCAAAGCGAGATGAGCGCCACAACCCCAGAGTTGCCCGCGACTGGACCTAACAGTCAGGGGTCCCTTTACCTTTAGCAGGGAGGCTGAATGCTGCAGTAGTCGACTTGAGAAATAATAAAATTGTGTATTGAAAAGTTGGGAGTCTCTGTAAATAGAAAAGAGCAAACTCCTTGCTATATTGACAAGCTGAAAGTGGAAGGACTTTGCAACCAGATGGACATATTGGGGGAAAAGAAGAAGTAAACAGTTTCTCAATATTTTGAGAACAACAACACCCACCCCCCCAAACAAGTTAAAGTGATTCTGTTGAGAGAGGCTGAGGAACATGAAAATCCAGAATATTGGTTTTGGCAGAGTTTTCAAGGGAAATAGGCAAACAATAGAAAGTTGGGCAAGTGAAAAGAGAGGAAGATATGAAATAGCAGTATTGTAAATCCTTAGCACAGATGTGATATTAGAAGAAAATGAGTGGATAACGAAAGCAAAAGGGAGAACATCAATAATATTTCATAGTGAAGGATGAGCCAGTCACCATAAGGTTAATTCTTTTTATCACACTGAAATTCCACTCTCTTTGGAAATATCTGTGCAACTTACCTGGTGGTGTTCAAGTCCACATCGGAAATCTGCTTAGCTTAAGAGAATCATACACCCTCAAACATTGAACTGACTGGTGCAGCTGGTTTTGTCTACATTATTCCAGTCCTGAAAGAGGTTCGCCCTACCTGTTTGCATTTGGGGTGCTGTTTGATATTTACTTTCAAAGGCCTAATTGGCTTGTGAGCCAGCTTTGTTGGTTAAGGAGTTATCTGTCAGTTTCATCTGGTGCTTTTATTCTGGTTGTGTTTCATTGTACTGTTCATTTCGTCATGCTTGTACAACTGCTCAGAAATCTAGTATGATGAAGTGTGGTATGTAACTGTTTTAAACAAACGAATGACAGTGTGCCGGAGGCTACATGGGAAAAGAGACAGAGAATTCAGATGATTAAGGTTGCAAAACAAGTTCCATTATGGTGTTGTAACAAAATTATGTCAGATATACACCTTTCTCACGTCAAGCCATGTTTAAATGTTTAAAGTCTAAGAGCTTTTGCTAGGGAAGATGGTGGGAGAAGCATTTGTGTTCTGTTAACAACTGAATTATACAATGGAAAGTGCATGGCGAACGGGTGGGGTTTTTTTTTTTTGGGGGGGAGAATGTTCTTTTGGAGAAATAACAGCTGTTTTTGTGAACACAGAAAACTGACGAGTAAAGAAAACCTGCCTTGTAAAATTCAAGGGCTCGGACAGGAGGAAGCCAGTAATGAGGAGAGGATGTTGAGAAGGGAGAAAAAGGCATCACCTGCTTTATCCATACACGTTGAGGGAATTCAAAAGTTTGGGCTCCAGATGTTGAGCAAAACCCCAATTTGCAGGAGTTTCCTGTCAGTTTCCACTAGCCACGTTAATTTACAGCCACACGAGAGAGCACTTTGGTCCGTCGCCAGTTCTATCTTTGCATAACTGCAAATGGAAGGGAAGCTCTTGCAGGCAAGCAATCCCTTCCAGAGGAAGATTTGAGATTATCATCTGCCTGGTAGGATTAGTCGGCTCACACTGGCGGGAGCTGAAATGCAAAATTCTCCCTGCATCCAGCGAGTTTCCCATAAAATGGGGTTGACTTAGGGCTCCATATTAAAGGAGATGGGTGGCAAGCGGGGACCAGTTTGAAGCAAGTGGCTTTCATATTGGGGAGAAATGGTGGTGCGGTGACAAGGACATATAGTTTGCATGCAGGTTCGATCCCTGGGGTCTTCTTAAAAGGCTCAGCAGGCAAGACTGGTAGACAGATGGACATTTTGCCCTGATATGTTAAAGAAAGGACTCTTTATAAGAGGCTCCTGAAGGACCAGGTTAGGAATAGCTGGCAAGGTTTCCTGTAAGACAGACTGCCTCCTGCTATTACACTTCCTTGGCGGTGTGTGGCCACAGGGGAGTTTTCAAGGGCATTCTGGGGAGTATTTATGGAGGCATAGTGTTCAATGAGAATTGACCAGGCAGTCCTTTTCTTTAATTAATCAATTAATTGTTATATTATTGTG